AGAGCTGTCCAAAGACAACCCCAACAATGATCCCTGACATCTGGGCAGGCAGCCCACCCAAAGCTCAGGGGCTGGTGAATCAGTCCTGAGCCCTGGTCAGTTTCAGGGAGGAGGGTGGGGGTCCTGTGACCCAGGCCATTCCCTAATTAAGGGCACAGTCTGGGGAGACTACTCCCACGGACACCTTCCCAGGAAGAGTGTCAGACTGACCTTTGGCCAGCATACCAGACACACTGATCCTTCCACAATTCAAAATTGATCGACCCTGGGGACCCCTGTTGCTGACCAACCCCCCCCCCCATTTGAATCCCCTTACCTCACTCTGCTGGTAAGATGGAACTGCTCCAGGGCCTGCCTGGGCTCAAGGAGAGGCCCTCTGTGAAGTCTCACAAGGGGCCGCCAGCAGAGGGCTGACCCAGCAATCACCTTGCAGGGGAGTGAGGGATACAGAAACTATCAATCCGTATAAGAATAATATATTCAAAAGTATTCACTTTCCGCAATAGAATAAAAACCTGAAAGAGAGAATTTTAATTTTACTCAAAACTGCAGAAGAAACAATTTACAAACAGTTCTACAAACATTTCCATTCTTCTTTGTGGGAGGGGAAAAGATTCACACCTGGAAAAAAACCCAAAATACTGCTCGAATGGCCTTTGTACAGAGCTGTAATAGTCACCAAACCACTTCCAGTGACAAGGTGGTAGTGGGCTATGCCCACCCCCCACCCCAGGTTAGATGTCAGAATAGGAAGAACAAGGGGGCAACCAGGCTAGATGGCTCAGTGGACAGAGCTGGGCCTGGGCTCATGATGACTCATCTCCCTGAGTTCAAATCCAACCTCAGAGACACCTGTTTGCCTCAGTTTCCTCATCTGTAAGATGTAGAAGGGAATGGCAAACTACTTTCCACCCAGTATCTCTGCCAAGAAGACCCCAAAAAAGCTCAGGAATACTGCACTGGTCACCACTGAACTCCAAACAAAAGAACTGATGAGGAAGAGCTGTCCAAAGACAACCCCAACAATGATCCCTGACATCTGGGCAGGCAGCCCACCCAAAGCCCAGGGGCTGGTGAATCAGTCCTGAGTCCTGGTCAGTTTCAGGGAGGAGGGTGGGGGGCCTGTGACCCAGCCCCTTCGGGGGTACTTCCCCAGTGACAACTTCCCAGGTAGAGTGTCAGAGCGACCCTTGGCCAGCGCACCACACACGCAGACCGTCCCGCAATTCCAAAAGGAATGACGCTGTGGCCCCCCTGCTGCTGACCACACCCACATTTTACCCTGCCTACCTCGCTCTGCTGTCGGGCAGAAATGGCAGGGGCGGGACCCGGGACCGGGCTTAAGGAGGGGACCTGGGACGTCACACAAGGGGGCTCCCACACGCCAGAATGGGGGGCCCACCTCATGATCACAATGGGGGGTGGAATACCGCAAACTGTAAGTCCCTGTGTCCTTTCAATAACAATAATATATCCCAAAGTATTCACTTTCTGCACTAGAATAAAAACCTGAAAACCAGAATTTTCATTTTGGCCACCGCTTCAGAAGAAACAATTTACAAACAGTTCTACAAAAAGTTCTCTTCTTCCTTGTGAAAAACAAAACAAAACAAAACAAAACAAAACAAAACAAAACAAGAACACTCAAATTGCCTTTTTACAGAGCTGTAATAGTCACCAAGCTACCTGGAGTGACAAGGTGGTAGTGGGCTGTCCCCAGCCCCCACCCCAGGTTAGATGTCAGAATAGGAAGAACAAGAGGGCAGCCAGGCTAGATGGCTCAGTGGACAGAGCCGGGCCTGGGCTCATGAAGACTCATCTCCCTGAGCTCAAATCCAGCCTCAGATACACACACTAATTGGTAACCCCTGGCCAAGTCACTTTACCCTGTTTGCCTCAGTTTCCTCATCTGTAAGATAAAAAAAGAGAATGGAAAACCACTCTCCACCCAGTATCTCTGCCAAGAAGTCCCCAAACAAGCTCAGGAACAGTGCACTGGTCACCACTGAACTCCAAACCAAAGGACAGATGAGGAGGAGTTGTCCAAAGCCCTCCCTCCACCCCCTCAGGATACCTGACAGCTGAGCAGGCAGCCCCCCTCAAGCCCGGGGAGGTGGATCAGTAATCAGATTGAGGGGGATCCGTAGGCCTGGTCAGTTTCAGGGAGGGGCGTGGAGGTCCTGTGACTCAGGCCCTTCGGGGTACTTCCCCCAGTGACACCTTCCCAGGAAGTGTGACAGACCGACCCTTGGCCAGCGCACCACACACACAGACCTTCCCGCAATTCCAAAGGAAGGACGCTGGGGACCCCTGCTGCTGACCACACCCCATTTTACCCTGCCTACCTCGCTCTGCTGTCGGGCAGAAATGGCAGGGGCGGGACCCGGGACCGGGCTTAAGGAAGGGGCCCTGTGACGTCACACAAGGGGCTCCGACACGCCAGAATGGGGGACCCACCTGGTCATCACAATGGGGGGTGGGAATACCGCAAACTGTAAGTCCCTGTGTCCTTTCAATAACAATAATACAGCCCAAAGTATTCACTTTCCGCACTAGAATAAAAACCTGAAAACCAGAATTTTCATTTTGGCCACCACTTCACAAGAAACAATTTACAAACAGTTCTACAAAAGTTCTCTTCTTCCTTGTGAAAAACAAACCAAAACAAAACAAAAGCCTTCACACTGCCTTTTTACAGAGCTGTACAGATAACAGTTATCACAGTGATCCAGCTTGCCTTCTGGGCATCAGTGGCTGGGGGAGCCTCTGGGCTGAAGCCCCTGCCCTGATGCTGGCGTGGTGACCCAGCTGGCCAGCCACCCCAGGAAGCTTGTCCTGGGTCAGCTTCAGGAGGCCACCTCTCGAGGACCCGGGGTGCCCTCAGCCCTACCAGGAAGGCCTCTCCTCTGGCCTTTCTTGATCCACAGTTATGGACAGCAAAGGAGAGATGGGAGCTGACGGGGAGGCCAGAGGGTGTTTTTCAAATGCCCAAGATAAAACCCAAAGGATTTCAAAGGAAAGCAATTTATGTCGAAATCAACATGCAGGGTTTTTTTCCATCCAAGTCTATAGATCCCTCTGAAATCTGTCCCCAGCCCTTGCACCCCAGCAGGAGCCTCACCTGTGGGAATCCCCACCAAGGCAGGAAAGGAAGGGACCGCTTATCCCTTAGGGAGTGACTTCATATGGGCTCAGGAAGACCCAGGGAGGGCTTCAGGGATGGATAGATGCTGTGTGAGCTTCCAGACTACTGGGCTGTTTGGGAATACACCCACCTTTAGTAATGAAGGCAGTGATCACCAATTCCTGTAGCATTTTGAGGCTGGCAAAATACTTCACATACATATCTCCTCTGGTGCTAACAAAAACCCTTGGGAGGACTATTATCCCCTTTACACATGAGGAAACTGAGTCTCAGAAAGGCTCAGGAAGAAAGTGATTTGCCCAGGGCCACGCTGCTGCCTTCAGTGGGTGGCCGTGAATACTGCAGACATCCTACACCTGTGTGCAGTTTGACCAAAGCCCCAGAGCCTCTGTGATCTGATCACAGCTTTCTAAAGTAAACATCTGTAGGGTTTGTTTACTTGGGACCAAACATCCAGATATTTGGAAGTAAAAGCCAAGGCCCGTCCCAGAGAATTCCCCAGGGTCACCCCAGGTTCATCTCCTGGGAATCTTGGCTGTGGGTAGCCTGCTGCTGCCCCGTCCTCCAGTGAGACAGATGGCCATTCTCAGGGTCTCGGGTTCAAAGGCTGCCTTGATGCCTGACTAAGCTTTTCTTGCCTTCTGGCTGCTTGGCATCATGGTGTAGACATACCCTTCGGCTGCCATTGGAGGCAGTGTTGCAATTGGCCCACAAGGTCTCCTCTCCCATTCGGAGTGTCTGCCACAGCCTGGGCATGGTACTAATGTCCTGTGACAGATACCAAGCATTGTTAGGGGGCAAAAAAGGTAGCCCTTCCCAGGCCCCTGGGAAGGCAGCACCTCCCCTCAGCCAGGCCCTTGCCCTCCACAGTCTCCGGAGCTGTGGACAAAGGAAAAGGGAAATATCACCAACATCTTGGGTCCAGCCGCATGCCTCTCCTCCCCTGGTCCTGCCCTCCCTCTAGCTCCCAGGTGCCTGCAGGTCCTCTCAGAGCATGGGGGCAGGAGGGAGGGAAGGAGGGGGGGCTTCTGGGAAGAGCTGCCCCTGGGGATGGAGGCTAGCTATAGGCCTCTGGGTCAAAGGCTGGAGCTGAATCTGCTATCCCAGCCACCTCCCCCTGCTTCCAGAGCCCATGTGCCCCCCCGGGGCATTTCCAAGTCCAGATTGCAAAGCTCTCATCCTAGAAGTCTTCACTGCTTCACCCAGTGGCTCACTGAGGCGTCCCTGCTTAGGCACAAGCTGACCTCGATGGACTTGGAAAGGCCTGCCAAGTTCAAACCATTGGATCAACAAGAGAAATCTTTCTGAGTATTCATGTGTTGGCCTTTCCCACTTCCTTCAGGCCTCATAAGCTGCCTCCTGCATTTCAAGCCAATCCTCACTGAGCATATACTATGTGAAACGCCTTGGGCTCTGGGCAACAAGGGGCTGCCCTCATGGAGTTTAAAGTCCAAGGGGAGACTTGCATGAATTTGTTCACCTGTCAGTAGAATTAGAAGTGGAATGTAATAGGGACAAAGAAGAGATCCAAAATTTTGTCCACCCAGAAACCACACCTTGTAGAGTTGGGGGCGAGAGGTTTTCACTGGCTCAGGGTTAATTTGGAGGAAAAACCATCTATCTTAGATCTCCTGAATCTTCCAGTATCCTGTGGCTCCCAGGGAATGCATCATTTTCTGGACTTGATGAGTACAGAGCCATCCCTGATTCAGGCCACCCTGGCCCAGCACCTAGAAATGGAGAAGCGGCTTTAGGGAGATGGCTGGGTGGGGCCCAGCCCACTTGAATGGGTCTTCCAATGCGGCTGCAGGCTGCTCCTGGAGGCAGCAGGGCAGACGCCAGCTCGATGTGGCTTTGGGGGCACCCTTCTGCTGACACCCCCTTTCTTTCCTTCCAGATGACCACTCCAGGGTGATTCTCAGCCAAGTGGATGGAATTCCATGCTCAGACTACATCAATGCTTCGTACACAGACGTAAGCCAAGGGTTTTCTCCTCAACCAATGCTACTCAAATACCTGCTTTTAGGTAAACCATGACTGGCAGTGTGCCTTAGTGGGTAGAGACTTAGCTTCAGAGTCAGGAAGACACCTGGGTTCACATGGTTCCTCCCGGGTCAAGTGCTTTAGTCTCTCAGTGGCCCCAAGCAGGTCTCTGGGATAACAATAAACAGCAGGGAAGATTGGGGCCTGCTCTGGGAGAGGGGGTTGTTTTCACCAGGGAGCTCTGTAGACTCAGGAAGTCATGAGGCGGGGTCAATCTCGAGCCCTTCCTGACTGTCACTGAAACCACTGCAGAGAATCACAAATACCATCTTCCTTCTGCAGGGTTACAAAGAGAAGAATAAATTCATGGCTGCTCAAGGTAAAGTGTTTTACCCAGCTCATTTCTGCCCCTTTGCTTCCTTCTCATTTGTGTGGGAGATGATTGGAGGCAGCAGCAGGGCTGAGGTTTGTGTTAACCTATCCTCCACGGCAGCCTGGGCCACCCTCTGCACAGGTGGGTTCAGCATGTGTAGCCAGCACCCCTTCCTCATGCTAGAACCCTTTCTCCCTGACCTCACTCCCAGATAACCAAGGCTCTGTCACAGCCAAGACTCGGTCCTCTCCCAGGGTCCATTTGTTTAACTAACCAGCAGAGGGCTTCAGTCAATGAATGGACTGAAATCCATGAACACAGTGCCCACCATATAGTCATGGCTTAATAAATGCTAGTAAGCCCCGCCTGACCCGACACGTTGGGTCCGTGTTGTCCAGCTTGGCAGAAGAGAGCTCTCTCCCTGTGCTCCTCAGAGCTGGTGGTGAGCACCCATCTGGTGGACGGCCTCAGGCTGCCTGGGGGCCAGGTCCTGCAGACTGCCTTTCGACTGTGGCCCTCTCTCTCATCTGCAGGCCCCAAACAGGAGATGGCCAGGGACTTCTGGAGGATGGTCTGGGAGCAGAAGTCAGAGACCATTGTCATGCTGACCAACTTGAAAGAAAGAAAAAAGGTAAGGGGGACGTCTTATGAAGGGCCACCCCTGCGGCCTTGGGATGCCTACTGTAACCACTTCCTTTTCCTACCTTCCTCCTCCCCACCGCAGCGGCCCAGGGGTTCAGGGGCTTGCAGCATTCTCATCTCAAAGTCAAACCTGTGATGACTAAGGCAGATCGTTTATTTTCTGTCTTATTCTGTGGACCCCTCTTGCAATGTCTCATCTGACTTGAGTGGTTTTTTCCAACTGGAGTCACCCAGTAAGTGGGAGCCATGCAAAGTGCTAACTCTGAAGAATATGGGCAAGAGGTGGGCTTGGTGACGGAGGCGGGGAAAGGGCCCTGGTGGCAAGAGTGAGAAGGACGAAGCTCTTTTGCAACCAGACTCAAGAGGCGTGCTGATAAAGGGCAGAGAGAGGGCTCCCATACACTTGAAAAGAAAGTCTTCACCTGCAGCCCAGGTCTTGGGCTCAGAGACTCCACAGAAATGACCCTCACAAAGAGGGGGACAGTGTCAGAGGAAAGGAGGGGGTGTGGTCAGGAGATGCTGTACAGGGGGAAAGAGGCAGGTGAGGGGTCCCAGCATCCCATGACTTTGGGCCAGAAGGAACCTGGGTGTGAGGAGCTTAAGGCCCTCATTTTATAGGGAAGGAAACTGAGGCCCAGAAAGGAAAGGGGGCTGGCCTGCAGTCACCCAGGGAGTAGAAGAGCCAGATTCCAAAGCCAGGTCTTCTGACATCAGCCCCAGGGCTCTGTTTCATGCTGAGCCGCTGACCTCTGCCTGGCTTCTTTTAGGGGAGACATCAGTCAGTCAGGTAGCATTTATGATTAAGCACCTACTATGGGTTAAACCCAGAGGATACAAAGAAAGTCAAAAAATAAACAGTCCCTGCCCTGAAGGAAGGAAACAAAAGAACATTGATTAAGCTCTTACTCTGGGCTAGGCTAAGCTTTTACAAATGTTATCTCAGCTGATCCTTACCACAATCCTGCACAATAAGTGCTATTTATTATGAAGCCCATTTTAGGATTGAGGAAACTGAGGCAGACAGAGGTTAGCTGACTTGCCCTGGGTCACAGAGCTAGGGGGTGTCTGAGGCTGGATTTGAACTCATGTCTTTCTGACCCCAGGCCCAGCACTTTGTGTGTGCTATGGCCACTCCCAAAGCCTCTGGCATATAGCCTCATGGGGAGAGAACATTCAGACACCTGTGTGCAAAGAAGAGAGACAGTGAATTGGAGATGAGTGAGACAGGGAAGGCCCCAAGATGGAGGAGGACTGGGAAGGCAAGGCAGAAGGTGGGCTTCTGTGGTTTCCTTCCTTGGTGCCAAGGCCCAGTGACCCTGAGCCTAAGACAAACTTTCTTGAAGGTGGCTTTTTAATTCCCTCCTGCATTGAGCAATGCAGAGGCTGGCCCAAGGGTGTCAGGGCCCATTCCTTCTCAGATGCACCGCCAGCTCTTGACGACCCCAGCCCCCCACCGATTTCGGCTTCCAATTCTAAAGGATTCTTCCACTCTATCCTCGGCTTTATTTTCCACGCTTGGAAGCTGCTTTTCAATGATCTTTTTTAGACTAGGTATCCGATGAATGTCTTGAGGTTGTTTGTTTCTGTTTCTAGTTAAACATGAAATTCCTGCAGGTAGCAATAAACTTTTAAAAATATCCGGGCAAATACCCATGCATTTGTCATTGTTTTCTATGTTCGTGCATGTTAATACAGGATAAGATCCTTTCAGTCATGTATCCTTTTTAATTTTACCACTAGATTTTAATCCAGACTTATGGACTTTTGCAGGCTTTGGCTCTTCCAGCTTTGTTTCGGGTGCCACCCTGGCAGCATGGAGTAATCTAATGCCCCTACTTCTAGATGGTGACGACCCGTGACATGGACTCTCACTGCCTTTCTTCTCCAGGAGACTCTTCCCTAGATACTACATATATATACACTCTCTTGAGTTTCTGTTTCCTTTTTATGTGATCTTGATGACATAAACTTCTCCGGGAAGCTCTTGTGCAGTTTCTTTGTTTCCTTGGACAATGTGTCTACTCTATTTTTGCCTCTAGTTTTCGAAGTCATTATCCCTATATTGGGACTTGCATCTTTAAGTTTCTTCTCCTCATTCTCTGTCTTACATAGTTCAGTTGGTAAACCTAGATTGGGCTCTTGTGATTCCTTAGCAGACTTAATTATGTTGCTAGATGTTAAAGATGCCATCTTTCATGAACTGTGAAACTCTTAGGTGGTGTCTTTTCCTTACTCTCTATGCATATCTTCTTTTTCAAATTTAACTTGCTTCTCTTTCTAAAAGCCAGTCCATCTTCAGTCACAATGGTCTTCCCCTGCAAATTTTTGATACTTTTTTGTTCATTTTCTGTGTGTAACTCATTGATTTCACTCAAACTCAAATTCACTTCCTGCATAGGTTTATTTCTGCTTCTAGGGTGCAGTACTGCCTTTTGACCCTTTAACATCCCTGGAAAATTCTTTTTTTTTAACCCCATTTCTTATTTATTTACCAGTAGCATGGGAAAACATTTTTTAATAGATATATTTTTAAAACTTTAGGTTTCAAATGTTCTCTCTTTCTCCCTCCCCACCCACCCTCATTGAAAAGGCAAGCAACTCAATATAAGTTATACATGTGCATTTATGCAAAAGACGTCCATAGTAGACATGTTGTGAAAAACTAACTCTATTTCCCTTAATCCTATCCTGCCCTCCCATTTATTCTATTCTTTCTTTTGACCCTGTCTCTCCTCAGAAGTATTTACTTCTGATTAACCCCTTTCCCAATCTGCCCTCCTCTCTAGCATCCCCCTGCTCTCTTGTATTCCCTCCTTAAGCCAAATCCTATGAGAATAAGATTCACTCCTTCCCTCTCACCTTCCCCTGCTTCCCCTTTCATTGTAAAAGACTTTTCTGTTTTTTGGGGGGGGTTGTGAGATAATTTACCCCACTCTACCTCTCCCTTTCTTATTCTCTGAGTATAATCCTCTCTCATCCCTTAATTTTATTCTCCAGATATGACCCCTTAATCTTCAGCTCACCCTGTGCCCTCTATCTATCTATCTACATACACATACAAATAATTTTTTCCTCCAACTACCCTGATACTGACAAAGGTCTCATGAGTTATAAATATCATCTTTCCATGCAGGAATGTAAATAGTTCAATCTTAATAAGTCATACTCAGGAAGAAGATCAAATGAAATAATATTGTGAGGTTCTTGGCACAGTGTCTGGCACATAGAAGGCTCTGGATAAATGCTTATTTTCTTCTTTCTTTCTGGTAACTCTTTCAAAAACAGCAAACAGAACTAGTCCGGGAGATATTTTGCTCTATTATGTTGGTTCCCTAGATCTCCTCACTGATGATAAGTAGTGATGACAACAGTAAAAACTGTTTCCTTTCATAGAGTATTTTGAAAGCATTGCACTTTTCAAAGTGGTTTTGCATTTATTATGTTATTAGACCATTAGAGCAATGCTGTGAAGAAGGTAGTTCGAGTATTCTTATTCCCTTTTTACAGATTAGGAAAAGTGTGATACAAAGAACTAAGTAATTTGTTTAAGGCAGAAAAGACAGATCCTGGACTCAAGACTCCTGGCTCCCAGCCCAGTGAATTTTGCTACTTACTTTGCTCTGGGTCTCTGAGTCTTCATCCCTAAAATTAGAGGATTAGATTAGATGTTCTCTAAGATCTTTTCCAGCTCTAAAAATGAAGACTCTACCAATGCTTTATGGAAAGACCATGGTCTTGTAGCCTCAAAGAAGAGACTATGACCATATTTATATAGAGAAGAAAAGATAGCCTTCTTCTTTAACCTTAAAAATAGCAGTAGAATGACTGTGAAATCACTCGCTTTGAAATTCAGGGATTTCAAGTATTTATTGGCATGTTTAGGACACTTATGAAGCTATTAAGAACTTGGAAAATGAAGACATTTTTCTCTTAGAGCAACAGAAAGATGGGCAGAAGAGCTGGGAAGAATGTCCACCTGATTTGCTTCACAAGGAAGAGCAAACGACTACAAGAGACCAATCCCCATTCACCCGGAACTTGCAAACTAAAAAGTTCCCAGCCCCAGTACTAGAGTTTCATCAATCAACTTACTAGTTTCTGAGCAACACCCTTAACACCGTACCAAATACAGAGGAAGCTGTGATGGAAAGGATACAAGAAATCAGTACTAATGATTTGGATAGATGTGAGTATGTTGGCAGAAAAGTTGTCACTTAAGAATTTTCTGCTCATATGGTTTACGTTCCTAATACAGAAAATGCTTGTGCCTCATTTCAAATTAAAAATCCGTTTCCATTGTTGAGATTTTGCAACAGTAAGGCAAGAGAAGGTGTAAAAATCTATGAAGTTAATTGTTCCATTTCTCATAGCAAAATATTTCCAGTTGTTAAAATCCAATAATGCTGCTTATATCACTTCAGAAGGAGATCTCCCAAACTCACTTGGAAGTATATCTAGTGAATATGTGATGGTTGTCAAACTCTTTCCCCCCCCTAGAACTGATATAAAACCAAAAAGGTAAATAAGGCTCATTTAAAAAGCGCAATCACTTGTTCAATTTCTGCAGAACAGTTTAACCAACAGCCTCATATATAAAAATTCATAATCCTGAAATCAGTGTAGTGAAAACTGTCTCTTCATCTCTTTGTCGACCTCCAGTTCACACAAATATTGATGTTTATCTTGGATTGAATATGTTTTGCAGAGGCCTTCCATAGAAGTCTTGTTTTTGCCTAGTAGTCTAGCTTTTTCTCGTTGGGCAAGTTTCTCTAGTGTCCTGAAAATTTAGTAGACTGTTACATTATTAAGTTTAAGCGGAAGTGTTTTATTTTCATATATGAGCCTCCCTTCTCTCCTCTCCATTTCAGCTGATGATATACACTGCAGATTTCCTGGGGGAAAAGTTCCCAGCATAATGAAATCCATATTTTGACTATAATACTTGGATTCACATGTTTGCTTGGAAAGGAAAGAGCAAACATGGGATATAGGGACAAATCTCACTTTTATAGTTTCCTTGCGAGAACTGATGTCCTTCAGTAAGAGATCCAGTTGCTAACTCATCAGGTGGAGCAGCTGCATCAGCTTTATCAAGAGGCTGTGTGTGACTCATCCCAACTGAAGAAAATCTTCTGGAGCAGAAGAAGTCCACGAAGCTTTCAGAAGGGAAAATTACCATTGATGACTTCTTTCAAGGGAGATGGGATTTAGACAAGTAGAAAGCAAGGCTCCAATTAAGTATATGGCAAAGAAAAATTAAGATTTTAAAATTATATCAATGGCTCAATTTTAACCAATGTGCAATCTAAGAATGATTATCCAATGGGGAGAATCCAGATGTAATAACAACTAGATGGTTGAAGTATTTTTAAGCTGAGAGCATTACTGGTGAAGTGATGGCTTGGCCAATGAGAGCCCATCACTAGGAGCATGCACAATACACTCTGGCTGATGTGTTTTCCTTCATGGATGTTTGGTGAGCCAGTTTCTGGGCATGCTCTGAAGAGGAAAGTAATGGCCACTATTACTATTTTACTCTCGATGACTATTATCATTAAATTATTACTATAATCCCTATTACTCTCTAATACTTTATTACTCTTGTTATGAGAGGCCAAGCACACTGCACATGGTCCCTAAGGACTGGGCTCCCATTGGCCAGTCACATTACACTGGTACTGTTCTCCATGAGCTCAGAATCCAACTGGGAACACAGCATGCACATAACTAACATGGAGCCACTTTCAACAAAATAAAAAAAGGTACAGATCACCTACTTTACATGTTGTTGTTCATGTCGTTCATGACAGGCAGCACTCAGGAGGAGATCTACATCTGGTACCTAGCTCCATCCACTGGTTTTTGGGTGACCTTGAATAAACAGCTTCAACTCTTAGGGTTTGGTTAGTCATCTATACAGTGAGGATGGTAAGACCTAACCACTGGGATCGTAGTGAGGCTCAAACGAGTCAATGGATCTTAAATGCTTTGTGAACCTCTGAGTGCCAGAACGTATTAAATATCATCATTTTATAATAGGTTAACTCTTCATGCAAAATAAGCAGCCATACTTATCATTGGCTCCAGGACAATATTTTAATCTTGAATATCATTCCAAAGCAGAATGAGTCATGAGTTGTGTAGATGAAAGTTGCAAGCAGAAGAACCCAATGGAAATATTCAAAGGCAGACTTTTAATAATTGTCTTGCATTCCCTTACTGTTTCTGGAAAGCAGAATCGGTCTGCTTTTCAATTAGGCCAATTCTGGGAATTAGTCTGAAGGCAATTTTATTTCCCAAATGGTCTTCAAATACTTTACATTTAGGAAAGCTGCCACCGGTTGTGACAAGAGCTGTAATGATGAGTTTTTGCTGTGAGAGAAGTATTGCAAAAGCACCCTGAGATATTACTGGAGAGGTTGCCATGAGATTAAGGAGTGAACAAGGAAAAGCTCAGGGGGAAGGGCGCCTGCATTTGGTGAAAGATGAATAGTTAGGACCTGAGTTCAAATCCAGCCTCTGACCAAACACTTGACACTTACTAGCTGTGTGACCCTGGGCAAGTCACTTAATCCCAATTGCCTAAAAACAAAAAAAGATGAACAGTTAATTAATTATGCTGGCTAATTGAGTGCTACACTCAGGTGTTTCCATGCTTCTGAAGGATTGGAAGGGCTTAATAGGAGAGAGGTAGGAATAAGCATTTATTAAGCACCTACCATGTGCTAAGCATTGTACTAAGCACTGTTTCCAAATATTATCTAATCTGGTTTTTACATTTTGCAGTTGAGGAAACTCAGGCAAACATAGGTTACAGTGACTTACCCAGAATCCCTCGGTAAGTGTCTGACCTAGATTTGAACTGAGGTCTTCCTGACTTCAGGCCCAGTGCTCTATCCCCTGGGCCACCAGCTGCCTCCAAATGTAATGGCCATAAAATGGTGGTACATGGGATAAAACCCTGATCACCTCACAGTCATCTTGGCTCTTTCTCAGGCTGTGGCAACAGTGTGGAATAGGCCAGCAGAAACTGTACAGGCAGGGAAGGGCTGTTGTCAGTGTGTGTGTGGGCATTGCCCTGCAAGGTTGCTTTATTGTCTGCCACTCAAAGAACAGGTTCCCAAGAAACAAAAAATCCCAAATCTGAATGGCAGCTCCAGTTTCTTATACTTCTTCTAGTCTCTCTCCTTTACCCCACAATGGCAAGTGAAGGGATTTTCTTAAGCATCATTTAGTCCCTCACGGTCACTGAAAGAATTCTATAACTGATCTTCATTGACTAAGATTTGCTTTTCCCCTGGGCTATGGGCAGCTAGGTGGCAGAAGGACAGAGTGCTGGGCCTTGAATCAGGAAGATATGATCAGAAAGATCAGCTTCAGGTACTAGCTGTGTCACCCTGGGCAAATCACTTACTCCTGCTGTTTGCCTCAGTTTCTTCATCTGTAAAATGAGTTGCAGAAGGAAATGACAAACCGCTCTAGTGCCTTTGCCAAGAAATCCCCAAATGGGGTCCTGAAGAATTAGAAACGACCGAACACAGTCAAAGTATCTCTTTATTGTTATTTTAAAAATATCAGCTAAACTAATGTTCTTTTCCTCTGCTAGATTCCAAACCCAGTTGTAAGTTGATATAAATTCAGGGGAATAGTGAATAAAACCTCATTAAAAATGACTCCTTTTACTGGTAGGTGCATTGGGTAATTGATAGAGAATAAGCAGGAATGGGGGGGGTGAGTAATTGAGACAGATTGCATTGTTAGCTATTTCCTATGCTCTGTAAATGAGAGCTTGAAATCAGTATCCCATTTAAGCTATATCTAATGGGGACTTTTGAAGAGAGAAGCAGTGTAGGAAAGATAAATGAGAAAGCATGATTCAGACTGCTGTGTTCAGACCTCCTGAAGGTGGTGCATGTAACAGTCCCTAGATGGTCTCAGAAATAGGACAGTTAAGCTGAAATAATAATAACTACTTCATATAGTACTTCAAGACTCGGAAAGCCCTTTTTTATATACATATATGTATATATATACATATGTGTGTGTGTGTATACACACACACACATATATGTATGTTAAGTTATTCGGTCCTCACAACACCCTTTGAGGTAGGTGCTATTATTAACCCCATTTTACAGCTGTGGAAACTGAATCACAGAGATTCTAAGGAACTTGCCCAGGGTCCCACAACTTGTGTCCGAGGCAGAACTGCAATTCAAACCTTCCTGACAGGAAAACCTTGTTTTGGTATATCTTTACTTTTTTCCCTTCCTTTAAACCAAGGATCTTAATCTTGGGTCCCTTGTCCCCAAGGATTGATTTCAATGGACCTCTGAACTTGAAAGAGGAAAAATTATATCTTTATTTTTATTAACCTCTAACTGAAGTTTGTCATTTCTTTGTATAAGCCACAACAACCCACAGTAGTATTAGTATTACCTGTGACTTTGTCTCCAATTGTAAGGTCTGGAATTCCTTTTGCTGGGGAACCCTGTAGCACCCCATAATCATGGATTGGTTTTTTTATGCCAAATGAAGAGGTCAAGCATCTCCAGATTGATTGTTGGTAATAGTTTAAGCATCATTATGAACACTTACAAACAAGGGCAATCTTCAGTCTGGGGTTGCAGCCCCGCAGATCAGTTGATTCCCACTAACAGACCCAAAAATCTCTGTGGTAATTAGAGAAAACAGATGAAGAGAGGAGGAACTGAGAGTGTCTCACTGGCTGGCATATATTTTCAGTGTTTTCCTTAGTAATAAGCTTGGGAGTTAAGCCAATGTTATGCCCTGAAATAAATGTATTTCTCGATCATATATGGGTCATGATATTCTTGTCATGACTTTCATATGTCATAGTGTCTTAAGTTTTGACTCGGTGTCTAAAATATAATTTTTTATCTTAAGTTACAATTGGTAAAGAGATCACCAGTTTGGGATTCTACCTTTCACAGGATTTAAGTTTTTATGGCTTTTTGCTTATTGCTATTTCCCAAAAGGAACCCTATAATCCACCCCTGAAAAGGCACCCATACATTCTTTCTGAATATTTTTCACAATGTCTTTGGGGCAGCTGTATACTAGGGTGCTTTAGGGCCTTTTTAGTACAGTCAGAATGATCTCATTTGTAAGCATAAACCACATAAGCAATACAAGCACAGATAGGAAAACACCATGACCAATAAGAAAATGATCACAATTATTAAAGTTTTCTTCCCTCCCACCCCTGGGGAGGTGAAGGAAGAACCAGTGGCATTTGGAGATCAATGGTTGAGCTGACTATCTGAACTGAACTGAATACAGGTGGGTAGAGTTTCTGAACAACATGGCATGGGCAGGTTTACAACAAATTGGGGCATGACACAGGATAGAATCAATTACAGAAGGAACATCAGAACAACTGGATCTTCTGTTTTCCCCCTTTCTGTCAAGGGGAAACTTGCACAATGATGAGCATCACCTGATCTTAAGTAAAATTCTTTGTCTGGTTCCAAGTTTCTTGTAGACACTCCTTAGATGTTCCTGCTAAAATGTTTCACAGAACAGATCTCAGTACAAGTTTAATACCGCCTGACACATGTTTGTAGCTAGATCATGTTGTGAAAACCAGCTCAAACCTTCGAGTTCTGATCTTAACCATAGAGTCACATCAGTGTAGGAACCCAGAGTTTGCTTGAAGCTTCAGAAAATTCAGGTTTTTACATGGCATGTTAGAATGATTTACATATGATATACAAGATTGTCTGACCTTGTCACTTTCTCAAGTTTCCACTCTGATTCCAATTCCTTTAGGAGGATCAGATGCTATTGAGGATTCAGTCCTATACGTGAAAATATAAGTAAGAACACTCTTGCAGGTAGAAGCTTTCCACCCTTCAGTTCAATAGTTACATTAATTAATTTACTTATAATAGGCTTACTTTACTCCAATTATAAGAAAAGATTTGGGAGGATTCACAAGTAATCAATTCCACAATAGTGCATATCAATAAGTCGTTAGTAATGATATATGTTTGTACGACAGGACACATAGGACAAACAGGTGTTTTTTCCACAGTAGTAATAAACTGAAATGAAATTGCCTTTTTGATTAATGCAACACAAATTATTTCCTAAGTTACTTCCCCCTAAGAAAACTCATTGCACTGAAATTCTCTTCTCAAAAGAAAACTGAAGATGTTTCTGATTTAGTTTCAGTCATTCATAGAATAACAGCCAGGCGCTTCAGTCAGTCGTACCAATACCCAATTATTCTGGTATCATTTGGAA